TTATTTTAAGAGGTGTTTGCAGGATGAGCCAGTTCCCACCCTAGGTTAGATAGACAGTATTGGGGGGTGAAGGTGTCTCCTTTGTGACTTGTTTTCAGGATCTCGGGAGCACATACTGCATTGAAACTGGAGTCAGAGGAGAGGAGCCCAGAGGCGTGGCTTCAGCTTCAATCCAGTCTCGAGACCAATTGGCTGTGATAATACTATTACTGGTCCATCCTGCAAACACCTCTTAAAATAATAGTTCAGGTAAGACCAACTGTCATTTTCTTCTTCAACTCCTATCTATGGCAAACAGATTTCTGATCCAGATTATATAAATTATTCTAATATATTTTAGTTATTATATTATATCTAATATTCTAATATTATCTTTTTTTCAGCTTACTGTGGCATCTTCCCATACTTTACCCAAGAATTTAAAATAACATGGGTAATGATATTGTTTACCACCACAATGAACATAATCTCTTCTTTATCTTTCACTGAAAATGTAGGAACTTTGGACAAATCCGTAGTCACATGAATACTGTAAATGTGGCCAGTAATTGTAATTCTGCACTCTCTACATCAGCCTTTCTCAATCTTAGCAATTTTAAGATGTGTGGACTTTACCTCCCAGAATTCCCTAGCCACCATTACTGGTTGGGTAATTGATGTCCACATATCTTAAAAGTTGCCAAAGTTGAGAAATAGTGCTTTACATGTCAAATTCATATAGTGAAGAGGATAATCTATAGTCCCTGAAGCTTTGTTCCGACTTCCAAGTCATTTCCAAATGAATACATGTAAACTAATAGTTTTTAGTGCCTGCCTTTTCTTTACCTTTAAATAATGTATCTGAATATGAATATAATCTTAAAATTATTTTCACTAGAGATTATTTCTGACTAAATCTTGGAATATAATATTAACATACTTTGTGTCATCTATTTCCTTATCTGGTATTTTCACTTCAATTACATTTTTTTGCTAAATCTGTGAACTATTTATAGAGTGGCCCCATTTTAAATTACTGTGTAGCATTTCGTGAGCTAACAGACACATTACTAGAAGCTAAAATCATAAGACTATGTCTGGTTTACTTTGGCCATGTCATGCTTGAAAATTCATTGGAGAAGGCAATGATGCTAGGAATGGATAGTGGAGTAAGAAAGGTCAAGGAAAGAACACACTGGCTTGAGAACATCAAATCTAATACCAAATTGAACATCCAACAATTAGGAGAAGCTGTGCATGGACAGCCCTTGTCTATCAACTCGCCAAGTTTCGGACATGACTAAATTGTTTAAACAACAAAATTATGTGAGCTAGACTAGGACAATCTTAAACTTGCATATTTTCATTTCCTTCTATTCTTGACACCTTTACAGATAAACACACATTCTGTTTCTTTTAAACAGAGAGCAAGACAAGGAGACACATATATCTATACAGAGCAAAGACATAACCAGTGACACAGAAAGGATGAAATCAAAAAATTCTTCCAGCCACTTGCTTTCAGGTGACTGAATGTAACAATTTAATTGACAATCATTCCTGGTTGTTTTAAATCCTACTCATTAGAGCTATTTAAAGATGATTCAAAAAGTGCTAAAATACATGGATAGTCAACAATTAAGCAAAGTCAGTTAATGAAGGACAATTTGAATTAAGGGACAAATTAAAGGATAACTGAATTTTAAGAGAGGGAAAATGTCCAATTTTGTTCTTATTAAAAATTATATAAATAGGGTAGCATTAATGTTGTGTGTGCTATTCTCATGAAAATGCTTACCTTTCCAGAAACAATTTTTTCATAAATCTGGATTGGTTGATCTGCAAAGAATGGAGGATATCCAGCTGCCATTTCATAAATTAACACTCCTAAGGCCCACCAATCCACTGCTTTATTGTAGCCCTGATGAAAAATATTGTAATTAGGTCTAATGATAATACCTCATCTAACTTTTAGCATTAAATAATTATACACACATATATAAGAATATAAATGCTTCATATTTAGATAGCATACACATAATTTTAAAGTTTTATTCTCATAATATTATATATATATATATATATATATATATAGTTATTCGGGTTTTCTCCCGCGTAAAATTGGAGGTGTCTTGGCGACGTTTCGACAAAGTCTCATTCGTCATCTTCAGGCTTGGTGCTTCCAGGAGCAATGTGAGATCTCGGCTGTTTCTTCCTTTTAACTGCCAGTGGGGGTTTGAACTGATTGGTGGGAGCTTGGCTGTGTTCTGATTGGGTGGAGGCGTGTCAGAACTGGGTGGAGGTGTGTCCTGATTGGGTGGGGGTTTGTGTTTCAT